CCTTTTCCAGTTGTCAATAATGCCCTGTAAAAAAACCCAACCATTAAAGGTAAATAATATGCAGCCAGGGTACGTCTTGTTTGCGTTTCTCTGTCAGTGCCGACTCTTGCACTTGCCAGGTCGCTGTGGGCATCACTCACCTGTTCCACACTTGGATGTCACGCTACCATCAAAGAGAAACTGCAGCATAGCTAAGTGGCAGGTGTGGTTAGCACACAGTGGTGCGTTGACCAAAGCTGAGCGCAGGAGCAACTCTCCCCTCCTGTGGTTTCTGCGAAGAGACGGTGAGAGCAGGCCAGGAGCTCATGTCGTCCAGCATCCTGTTCTCACAGTGGCCGACCAGATGCCTAACCCTGACCCTAATCGTAAAACCCTAACCTTAAACCCTTAACCCCTAACCCCAACCCCTAACCCCTATGCCTAACCCCCTAAACCTAAGCCTAAGCCTAAACCTAACCCTAGCCCTAATACTTAAACCCTAACCCTTAACCCCTAACCCCTAACCCCAACCCCTCTAACCGCTAATCCCTATTCCCCCCCTTTTAAAAATAATATTTGTTGCTTTTAAAACTTACTAAAAAAGAAGAAAGAAGAAAATAGGCAAAAGAAAAAGACAAAATAGAGCAGAGAAGAAGAACAAATGGAAAAAAAGAGAAAGAAAAGAAAAAACAATTACAATACAATACAATACAATACAATACAATACAATACAAAACACAACCTTAACACACTAAACTAAACAAAGCAAAACAACAATTTAAAAACATATATCATACCATTTCATTACTCTATCTTTCATTCCCTTATTTCATCGACCTCCTCTCACCTCCCTTTTTGTATTCCACTTCTATTACTTGTTTCAGCGATTCCTTTCCATCTTTCTCTATTTTTATCATTATGAATATCTTAACATATTTTGTACCTTATTTTCCATTAATACTGAAATACTTATTTATACCTAACTCCTTATAACATTTCTGCTAAAGCCATAAAATTTCATTCCAACAATTTTCTAACACTCATTAAATTTACAATATTTCTATATATAAACTTTAAACTTTCCCAATCTTCTACCACCATCTCTTCTCCCTGGTCTAGGATTCTGCCAGTCATTTCCGTCCATTCCATATAGTTCATCAACCTGGAGATCTTCTGTCCGAGGCTCTTAAATCTTTTCCAAGTCCCTTCTGCAATTCTTCATATTCTTTGATGCTGAAGAGCAAGTCTCGGGGAGGCCCGACCCAACCATGCCCCCATTCCCTCTCAACAGGCCAGCCAACTCTCCACAGCTAAAACCAGTTTCCATACAATATCTCAAATCATGTTTCCAGGCTCCCCCAGATCCAAAGGCCCCCACAACTCCAATCCCCTCCTGACCCAGATTCAGGACCCAAAGGTCAGTAAATCTCTACATGAAAGAGTCTATCCAACCTTCCTTCTTCAATCCAAACAGGGCTCCAATCTTCAAATTCTGACTTTTTCTATATTCATTCATAAAAGGCCTCCACTTATAGTCCTCAGTTTGCCTCTGTAAAACTGGGGCTTCCACTTGTATTATTTTAGGTTTAACAACACCAACATTCTCCTTCGTCTTCTCCCCAGTTTGTCCTGTCAAGGTAGGTTCCTGTGTCAAATCCTGAACAATTTCTGTATTAATGGTCACTTTTTGTTCCAAATTAGTCACTTTTTGTCCCTGGCCCAGTTTAAAAGAGGGAAGTCCTCTGACCACGAACATTTCCTCCTTTTTAAAGCTGCTATTTGCTGCCCTGATGCACCTGGGAATAAGCATCCTTTTATTGGAAAAAAAGTATTATCGGATGCTTTCAAAGTGAACACAACAAATTGATCGTGCCGGAAGAGCCCGGCCGCTGCCTATTAAAAGCTGTTTTTGAAAATACAAATAAAATAAGGAAAGAACTAAGAAAAGGTGCCAGGGCGACCGCCGCCTGATCAGACGGGCCCCCGAAGCCCACCCCTGTCCCGGGACGGAGGCGGGCCTCTTCGCCGCTGCCTCGCCATGTGGGCGCCCGCCCTCCCAGCCGTGGGCCCCGGACTCTGCCCTCGAGGGGCACCCCAAGTGGGGAAGGGGACGGGCAGACGCCCTGCAGCACCCGCAGGCCCAGACAGAGGGGGGGGCCATATGGGCTACTTGGCCCGGGCCTCCGATTCCAAAGGAGGCCTCGGTCACAGTGTGTGTGTGTGTTGCATTATGTAATTTCATAGTATTTACATTATAAGTATACATATTTCCTGACAAAATTCTGTTATGGGGTCTTAAGAGCATCGGTGAATTCCGTACGTCACCATGTGTAATTTGACACATGATTTCACAATACTGAAATATTTACATGTCAATAGTGGGTTGCTGCTCTCCTCAGCACCCCTTGCCTCACCCAACTACCCAATTTTCAATGCATGAAGGCGGTGAAGGTCCTGTGTGAGTGTCTGGAGGCTGTTGGAGGATGAATGGCGACTAACAGATTGAGGTTGAATCCTGACAAGACAGAAGTACTGTTTTGGGGGGACAGGAGACGGGCAGGTGTGGAGGATTCCCTGGTCCTGAATGGGGTAACTGTGCCCCTGAAGGACCAGGTGTGCAGCCTGGGAGTCATTTTGGACTCACAGCTGTCCATGGAGGCACAGGTTAAATCCGTGTCCAGGGCAGCTGTGTACCAGCTCCATCTGGTACGTAGGCTGAGACCCTACCTGCCCACGGACTGTCTCACCAGAGTGGTGCATGCTCTAGTTACATCCCGCTTGGACTACTGCAATGCGCTCGACGTGGGACTACCTTTGAAGGTGACCCAGAAACCACAACTAATCCAGAATGCGGCAACTAGACTGGTGACTGGGAGCGGCCGCCAAGACCACATAACACCGGTCTTGAAAGACCTACACTGACTCCCAGTACATTTCTGAGCCCAATTCAAAGTGTTGGCGCTGACCTTGAAAGCCCTAAACGGCCTCGGTCCAGTATCCCTGAAGGAGCGTCTCCACCCCCATCATTCTGCCCGGACACTGAGGTCCAGCTCTGAGGGCCTTCTGGCGGTTCCCTCCCTGCGAGAAGCCAAGTTACAGAGAACCAAGTTACAGGGCCTTCTCGGTGGTGGTGCAGCCCCGTGGAACGCCCTCCCACTAGATGTCAAAGAGAAAAATAACTACCAAACTTTTAGAAGACATCTGAAGGCAGCCCTGTTTAGGGAAGATTTTAATGTTTAATAGGTTGTTGTATTTTAGTGTTTTGTTGGAAGCCGCCCAGAGTGGCTGGGGAAACCCAGCCAGATGGGCGGGGTATAAATAAATTATTAATTATTATTATTATTATTATTATTATTATTATTATTATTATTATTATCAAACTATGGCCTTTTAAATGTTTCTTTCTGTGTACATGTATTATTATTTTGTTGTTACTACAGTATGTTATGCAACCTGTGATGGGGGTTGTCCTTTCAAATTCTAAACCACCCAGTGATTTTTTTAATCAACAGTGGTATATAACTAGAGTAAATATCAATAAATAACTGAAGAGGGTTCATGAGGTTAGATGCTTCTTTCCTCCTTCCCAACCTGGGTAGCAGTTTGAGCTTGGATTTTATATAATACTTTGCTCCCCTGAGACAAGAGTTTCAGGCTTCTGAATTCCACTTCTTAAGGTTTCTATGGCACCTTTGGCATAAAAACTCGTCCACTCTGTTTATTTCCCTAACCACAACAACAGTCGTACAAAGTTGTTCTCGAGGGTTGTCTTACATACTCATTGGCACTTCCTTCTTGCAGAGTAAAGCTGTCTTCCTGAAGGGTTCTGAACCTCTTCTGAACTTCATGATAGCAACTTGAGGAAATGTCAAATAAAAACGAAGAAATAAATTATATGTCGTAGGGTTGCCAAATGATGACACAAAACGTTGTTGAGCTTTTTGGGGAAAATTCCCTTGAGCTTTTTTGGGGACACACACTTCCTACTGATTTAGAAAAATTCCCCCTGGATATCATCCCGAAGGCCTTTAGGGAGGTATTCTTATCTGCAACAGCTGCAGCTCGGACTTTGGTGGCAAAGGGGTGGAAGGAACAAGAAGCCCCGACAATAATGGACTGGCATTACAAGCTACAAGAATTTGCTGAAATGGCGCAGTTGACAAATACCCTGAGAGGCAATTAAAAACAAAAATTTATGGAAAAGTGGGATGGATAAAAAGCATATGTTCAAAAATACAGTAAAGGGTCACTATCTATGCTAGCATTTGATTGACATTGGAGTGAGACTGAGTTGAGAAATAAAACCTAGAGTACGTATTGATATAGGAATGTATTAGATAAAATGTTAAGAAATATACAATAATAAGAGCACATTCATTTGTAAAAAAGGAATATGCAACGGGAAAAACAGGAAGTCTAGTGTGTTGGTATGTATATGATTTTTGGAAAAAATCTTTGTCCTTTCTTTTTTTGTTTCATTTTCTTTCTAGGTATATAAAATTTGTATATAATTTTTGTATACAGGTTGGAAATTATAGTAAGTCCTGTAATGCTGTAATGTAATATGACAATGTTTACTGATGTGATATAAGAATGTTAACAAATAAATAAAATGCAAATTCCAAAAAAGGGGGGGGGGGAAAATTTCCCCCTGGGTGGTAATTTTGTCCTTGGAATCCCAGACATGTCTGGGGGAAACCAATCCTATGGCAACCCTATCTACCTCACCCCAATGAACGACAACGGTGGGGTGCAGCCACTTCATAATGTTGCTCGCAGAGGGAATTTCCGCATCTTCATCCTCGTAGATCAGAATTTGATATGCAGACAGGACTCACAGCTCCAGAAGGGGCCGTTCAGCCTGCTCTCTGGCACAGGCAAAATCACAGACCCTCTTGGATCAGAAGGCCTGATGAACAAACGGGAGAGACAGAGCCTACTCAAAGTATTTTTATTGGAGAGTGGGCGATACAATCTGCTCTGCCCTCTCCCAAAAGCACGTGGCTGGCGATTCCTAACACTTAGCACCCGACTTTGTCCCATAGACCTCCAGCTCACACAGGGTCAGGGCAGCTTTGCGTCCAGGGAGATGCACGCTTACGTAGCGGCCCTTGAGCTGTTGGCAGAAGATGGTATTGATGGAACCACGTGTGGGGTCTGTAATGTTTCCACAGCTGCAGAGAGAAAAAGGAAGTCAGCCGGGGTGGAAGCCATTCAAAATAACTCTGTCTGCACACGTACAGTCATGCCTCGGGTCACAGACACTTCAGGTTGTGCTTTTTTGGGTTGCGGACCACTGAAACCCAGAAGTACCAGAACGGGTTGCCTCCGGGTTTCGGAGGCTGTGCATGCGCAGAAGTGCTAAATTGCGCGTTGTGCATGCGCAGAAGCACCAAATCACAACCTGCGCGTGTGCAGACACGCAGACGCGGGTTGCGAATGCTGCGGGTTGCGAATGTGCATCCCGCACGGATCACGTTCGCAACCTGAGCGTCCACTGTATGTGACAATGCTGCAAGGAACCCAATAGCACAGGTGCCAGGGACTCATACTATCTAGACTGGACCAGGCAAGTAGGGACAGAACTCACAGAGAGTATCCTCCACGAACTGGTCCAATCCTCATTTGAAACCATCCATGTTGGTGGAACTCACTATTTCTTGTGGGGGGACGGGACTTCCATACCTCAATTTGCAGTGCAAATGTCAGCTAAAAGCTTCTGTCTGCCGCCTTTTAAGAGCAGGCGGAGAACTAGCACAGATCTTAGTGCTGTGAGGCCACAGCTCTCAGAATGGAGACATGTCATGTTCATACCAAAGAGCAGGTGGGGACATCTCTCTGATCTGTTAAGCACCAGCCTTTTAAAGTCAGCCAGCAAAACAGCCTCCCTTGGCACCAGTAATAGCACAAAGCACCATATCACTGAGACTGGATGTGAGCTTGTCTCTGATCTTAGGGAGACTTAGACTGGAGATGAGTGAATGAACTGCTATTATTTTAAGCCACAGGCCACCACAACTGAAATATAGCACTATTGGAGACAACAGACTTTTGCACCCAGTATCATCTGACATGACGTGATTGATATATGGATGTGGTTGTCCCAAAATGATCTGTAGGAGTAGACATCTGCTTCTCTCTGATGTTAGTGCTGTGAGGCTTCCATGCTAAGATCAGAGATAAGCCTCTGCTTGCTGCCTCTTAAAGGCTGGGTGAAGTCTTGTCTCCAATCTTAGAGCTGTGGTCCCACAGCGCTAAGATTGGGCATAAGAGGAAAAGCTACCGGTACTTGGTTCTTGAAAGCTGACTGTCAAAGAGCAGGCAGAGGCTAGTCTCCAATCTTAGTGCTAAAAACCACAGTGCTCAGACTGGATATAAGCCTATCTCTGATCTTGGTGCTGTTGTGCTTAGTGCTTCTCTTATTAACCCTGATCTGAACATAATGCTTAAATTTGATGCTTGATGTCATATGAGCCATGCATGGTTTACCCCAAATGTTAAGGCAAGCGCTGCTTGATGACAAGCCCACAGACCCAACCACTGTATGTTAAGGTAGCTAACCTGCAGTCCTCTTGATATTGTTGGACATCAGTCCCATCAGCCAACATGATCAATACTCAGGGATGATGGGAGTTGTAGTTCAACAACATCTACAGGGCCAAGAGGAAAGTGGGAAGCCCTGTTGGGATTCGCAGGATACTGGATAAGTCTGCAGGCTTCAACAGGATGATGCAATACTCTGCTGGGTCAGAGTGACTCAGCAGGAGTGTGATTATTGTAATTGGCTATCACCTGTTTTAAAAAGGAAAGCCTGTTTAACAGGGGTGTGGTGGTTGTGCTGTAGTGTGGTGGTGCTGTGGTGGAGAGTATTCGTTTGTAAGTACTCTGTATGGACTGTTTCTTTTGTAAATGCCTGTATATAGCTCACATTAAAAAGGACTGCACTGAAAAACCTGGAATTCTTAATGCTTTGCTGAAAACGCCGCGTGGAATACGCGACAGGGTTATGGGCCCAGCACGCTTCCGCTGCGCAAGAGTACAGGTGGCAGTTATCTAGCCGTGGGTGCTGGAGGTGAGCTGCAGGGATGGAGCAGTCCAGAACTGGCGTGTTGCTGGAGAAGCTGACGGCCACGAACTACAGTACCTGGTCGGTCCGCATGCAACACTTCCTCAAGCATGAGGGCCTGTGGAAGGTGGTGGAAACTCCACTGCAGCCCCCTGAGGAGGATGAGGACGATGATGAAAAGCTGGCACTAGCAGAGGCCCAGCTTGAAAAGGATGAGAAAGCTTTGGCTACGATCATCCTTGGAGTGAACGACAGCCAGCTAGTCTATGTAGCTGATAAGGTGACGGCAAGTGAGGCGTGGAATGCGCTCAAGGCTGTCCATGTGCGAGAGACAGCTGGCTCACTGATAACACTGACCAGGAGACTGTACCGGTGTCGGAAGAAACCAGGGGACTCCCTGGTAAACCACCTAAAATTCCTAACAGGCTGTTTCCAGGAGCTAGCCTTAAGAGGGAGGCCTGTGGGGGAAGAGGACAAAGTCTTTATAGTCCTGAGTTCCCTTGATGACAGCTATGATATGCTGGTCAACTCCCTCGAGTCTGTAGGGACTGATAAGCTGACTCTGGAATACGTGACCGGACGGTTGTATGCAGAGGAGGACAGGCGTGCAGAGCGAAAGATGACCTCAGCCCAGCTGTTGGAGCATCCCAGAGGGAACAACAGCCGGGAAGAGCAGAGGTGTTGGGAGCCGGAGAAACAGCCAGGAGGAGCTGCTGCAGACCAGCCGGTGGTCAACAAAGTAAAAAGGTGTTTTTGCTGCAAGTCCAGTGGACATCTGCTGCGGGACTGCCCGAGAAAACAACAAAAACAGCGGAAGCACAAGTGGCAGCAGAGGGAGTCTACCGCTTGGGTGTCTGCAGATGGTCAAGAAAATGAGGAGCTGTGGGTTCTGGACAGTGGAGCTTCTCAAACCTTTTGTAAAAGAAAAAGACTGCTAACTGATGCTAGGGCTTCAAACAAAAAACATGTAAGTCTTGCTACGGGCCAGAAAGCTAATGTGGTTTGTGAGGGGGAGGTTGTGTTCCCACAGCTGGGACACACATTCAGGAATGTGTTGTGTGTGCCTAGTTTGCAAAACAATCTCCTGAGCATTCCTGACTTGGCAAAAGCAGGCTTTGAAGTAAATTTTGTGGGAGATCAGTTCCAGATAAAGCAAAATGGGGCAGTGTTGGCAAATGCTAACCTTAGAAGTAATATGTATGTACTGCAGTGTGAATCTAAGGTTGCGAATGTGCAAAATGTCCCAACCCATGATATGTGTATTCATCTCCTGCACAGGTGTCTGGCACATGCTAGCTATAAGGTGCTAAACAAAACATTGGAGTTGTGTGGGGGGATGAAAAACATAAAAAGTTGTGATAATTACTTAGACTGCAATATTTGCAAGGAGGTTAAAAGCAGGGCTTGCCCAGTAGCAAGAGCAAGCCAGAGAGAAACCAAAAAACCACTGGAGTTGATTCATGCTGATGTAACTGGTCCTTTTCCACCAAGTGTCTCCCACAACAAGTACTGTTTGATCCTAGTGGATGATTTTTCTAGATTTGGCTGGGTCTATCCATTAAAGCAAAAGTCTGACGTTGCCCAAACTTTGAAGTTCTGGGTAAGAAGGGTAGAAAGGCAACTTGGTGAAAAGGTGTGCTCTATTCAATCAGACAGGGGAGGGGAGTTTATGGCAAGCTCCCTAAGAAACTGGTTGCGTTCCCAAGGGATTAAACATAGGCTTACCAATGTGGCCACGCCTCAGGAGAATGGAGTAGCAGAGCGTAGGGGAGGTGTCTTGCAGACACAAATGAAAGCATTGTTAGCAGATGCAAATCTTCCAATTAAGTACTGGGCTGAAAGTATTAAGACTGCAAACTATATTGGGAATCGCTTGTGGTCAAGGGTACTAGATGACATACCCTATAAAATTCTCTATAACAAAAGTCCCAGTTTGCAACATTTAAGAATCTTTGGGACAAAGGCATGGGTTGACATACCTGTGAAAAACCGAAGAAAAGGTGGGAAAAGGGCACAGCAGTTGCTATTTCTTGGGTATGAAAGTGGTACGAAAGCCTACAGGTTTGAAGATGATAAAAACCTTTTGAGTTATAGTCGATCAGCCAGCTTTAATGAGCAAAGAAATTGGCCCAAGATACATGCAAACCTGCTGCCAGAAAAAGTTTTACTGCCGAGTGTACCTGATAAGGCAGCTGAAACAAAGCTAAGAATTGGCAGCTCTCCCAGAGAAATTGAAAGGGAGGAGGTAAAGGTTGAGCATTTTTCTCCAGCTGCTAGCATAGAGCAGGGGGGAAAAGAAAGTGCAACAGGGACAGGAGGAGGTAGATCTACAGAGTCAATCCACCCCAAAAGCAGTCCTGAAGGTAGCCCAGGGGGTGAGATTAATGAACCAAGGAGGTCTGCAAGAAGTAATAAAGGTCAACCTCCAGACCGTTATGGGTTCCCAGCCATCATAAACCAGGTTTGTGTAACTGAGCCAGAAAACTTTGAAGAAGTGCAAGAGTTACCTACTCTAGAGAAAGAGGCGTGGTTAAAGGCAATGCAGGCAGAGTATAATTCTCTGCTAAACAACAATGTGTTTGTACCTACAGAATTGCCTGAAGGTAAAAAGCCCATAAGCTGTAAGTGGGTTTTTAAAGTGAAAAAGCTGGCTGATGGTAGTTGTCAGAGGAAAGCCAGGTTGGTTGCATGGGGCTTTACACAGAGGAAAATGATACACTATGATGAAGTGTTTGCCCCAACAGCAAAGGCTGAAACAGTAAAATCAGTTTTAGCAATGGCAAGTCTGAGAGGGTTAAAAGTTAATCACTTTGATGTTGCCTCAGCATATTTAAATGCTCCTATTGACGCCGAGGTATATTTACAGCAAATACCAGGTTATGAGCTAGAAAAAGACAGCATGGTGTTAAAACTGCAAAGGGCACTATACGGTTTACACCAAAGTGCACGTCTATGGCATGAATGCATAGACACAACTTTGAAAAAGATGGGATTCAAACAAAGCCTGGCTGATTCCTGTTTATATTCAGCAATGGTGCAAGGAAGTGTTTGTTATTTACTTTTGTATGTAGATGATATCTGTCTAATAACAACTGCACAAAAGCAAGT